AATTATATTTCAAAGAATGACTTGTTATAAATATTTATTTTATTATAAATTATAAACATAAAAAAATGAATAAAATGATGTCATGTGCATGATCAACATATAAGACTATGGTCATTTTTCAACATGGAATAAAAAATGCATCACAATTAACAACATTTTTTATAATGATAAATCATTTGTGTTAGAAAAAAACTATTATTTTAAACTTTTCAATATATCTTTCAACCTGTTTATAATTTTGTTGATACTTATTAATGTACAACATAATTGTTTTAGTATTGTATATTTAATTCTGAATTATATTGTTAAAATAAATGTATTGTAAAATGTATAGCATTGGTCATTCAAAGTGCCAAACAATGACGATATAAGCAGTTGATTTGTCTGGAAAAAATACATTTTAACAAACAGTTAGTTAATAATGACATCAATAAAAAACATGATTATAACTTCTTTTATATTTTAATGAACAACAAAAACACCAAATTGAAAAATATAAAACATTGTAACTGTCCATTTGTTTCAAATCATAAACCAATAGAAGTTTACTCTTTACTTTGTTTAAACATCAAAAACACAACAATAAATTTAATTATCATTATATGGACAGTAATATTTAAATAAGGTACAACAAATTGTGTATTAATATATCATTTAAAACAGCTTATATTTTACATATATATAAGTTGAAATCAATAAACACGAAATTGTGACTTTTATGTATTTGAACTTGATTTTTTTGTAAAAAACTTTTTGACATTTAAACAAAAGTGGGTAAATTCATTATTGATTCCAACTTCAATACATATTTGTTATTTAAAAACACTTCTTTGACAATATATCAACAACAATATTGAAATATGTTAACAAAAATACATAACTATAGTTTTTAATTCATGTTAATTCTTAGACTACTAAAAATGATTTTAATGTCTTATGTACACGTTTAAGTGAGTTGCAAGTAAAATCCTAAAATTTGTGTAAACTGTGATACTTTTTTCATTTTACTGTTATCTTTTAAACTTTTAGTTTTATGTTTAATTTTTACACATTGTAAAGTTGCCACTTTTAATATTTTAGGCTGTTTTTAAATCACCAGTGTAGCAATAAACGGTAAAACCCAATACACCAACTGTTGTTATCAAATCAATGAAAATTACTAATTAACAAATGCTTCCATTTTAATTAATCATAATAGTTGTAGTATTATCAAAATATACATGTTCACTTTTTGTGTTGTAATATAAAAAATGATAAAACGATAGTTAAGAAATATTTGGATTAATATCTCGCTTGCACATGATTTTCAACAAAAAATTGTTGAATGAAAATTGAGGATATGGAAGTGATTGCACAATGAAATTATTAACAATTGTTTATATTTGATTTTTCTTTGTATTAACAAATCGTCAATGCAAACACATATAATTACAATTAATAATTGAAAATAACAATGTCATTAACAGTCATTATTCATTCAAAAATTTAATTATACAATTAAATTTGTATTCACAAATATGTATATCTATTATTAATATATTTAAACTTTTAATTGTGTTGATAACTTTGTTATGTGAATAATTGGAAACACCTTTTTACTAAAAGTTAATAAATGTATAATTATTCAAAATTAATTTTAATGATATCAAAATATAAATAAAAAATAACAGAAATTATCAATTGAAATATTTAATTTCGATTTGATTATAACTGTATATATTGTTAATCGTATGTGTATTAACGTAAAACAGACTATTTTAAAATTATATAAATATAAAACTTGCAAACTTTTTTGTTGTTAAAAGTTTGGCATCAAAAATAAACTGTTAGATTCGAATATAATTAATATGATATATTTTTACAACAAATTTTTATTATTGAAAATGTGTATATCTGTATTAATAAGTATATTATGTAAACCGAATATTTGGACTTCTAATAGGTTATAAACCATTATTGATTAAATATTAATTATTGGATTTTAAAAGACAATAGAGAAAATATAAATGATGTGATTGTTTTGAAATTGATAATTGATATCTGATGTGCCTGTTTAATTTATTAATAAATCATTTTTTTGTTTATCAACTACAATAACTTTTAGATGTATGAAATTTTTATAAACTTTTGTACACTCGAAATGTTTAAAAAGAAAGAAAAAATGCAACCAACAGTCAAGAAATTACTTTATTTTGTTATTTAATTTTATATATTACAACAACACTTGGAATTCAATTATGTTACGTCAAACTATTTAATCGGGCTTACATGATACCGAGAATTTACATTTATGAACTGTCTCATCTATTCTTTTTTGGTTTCATGTTATTGGTAATTCAGTTAGTGTTTATTTTCAGATTATGCCTTTTTGTAACGATATATTTAATACATTGTTTTTAATATATTTTTGACAGATATTCCATAATATTACTTGTAAAAGAGGATCAATGTTATTGTTTGCATCCACAATAGTCATTAAGATTATAAGTTGTAAAAAATCACATATCAATTACAAGTGTATGTTTCAAGAAATTACATTAACAGTTTTTAGTCTACAATTATAAAGCAAATATATACTCTAAAATACCACATACAAATAATACAACTACGTTATTGTGTTAATAACGGGTTATTAATAACAAATTTTTGTTGCATGTTTGATGAAATTTCAATTATTAAATTGATAACAAAATAATAATTTAATAAGTTATTATAGATATTTTATTAAATAAAACTATAATAATTTTATAATAAATTATTATTCAATTAAACTATAAAAATATAAAATAGTTAATTATAACAATTATTGTTACAAACTTATAGTTAATTTATTATTAATTTTAATAATAAATAAAAATAAAATCCCATAATGTTATTTTTAAATAGTAATTCATTTTATAACACAATGAAAACACAGTAATAAAATAATTGAAGTGTTCTTAAGGAGTGTTTGGTTAAAAAGGGTTTTCTTCATTAGGCTACGCATCCGATTGTCCACGGGTTATATTTTATTATATTATGTAAGTTTTTTTGTTTATTATTTATTATATCAAAATTTGTACCAAGAACCGAAAACAGCCAAGACATAGAACTTATAATTAATCTCAATTTAGTTTATAAATAATTGAAAAACTATACCAAAAAAGAAACAGAACTTAAAAAATAACACAAAAGTAAAATTAACAAAAAATATAATTATTGATAAAAAAAGCATAAAATAAACAAAAATTAATACCAAAACCAATTTTTGTTTTTAATTTATAATTCACATAAAAACGCAAATATTTACCACTTTTAATAATCCATTTTTATATTTGTTATCAAACTTTATGATAAAAAATATTTTAAATAAAATAAGTTAAAACACTTACAAATTAAGAGAATGAAGCAATATTTTGAGATGAGATATTTTCACCACATTTTCAGGTTTCATTACACTTTTGTCAGGACGCAACACATCATCGACATAACTAAACACGCTTTCCGAGTCTATTGATGTTGGTTGTATAGAAAATATTTTCTGGTTATCTCACGAAAAATACCATGTTTACCATATTTCCAAAAGTCGTCGGGGGTACGAAAGCCATCCCCGTTATCATTTTTACCATCATCTTTCATGTAGCGATCTATTTCTTTGGCAATTATAATAACAATTTGTTATATTGTTTCAATTGTTTTTGAAGTGACACGTCTTGATATGCAATTGATTAATGTGTATTGGAACAGTTTTTGCTTACACTCTTCTTTTTGTATTTCAGTAAGATATCTGTCTCGAGTGTAAGGGTACAAAAAACAAGACATTGTATAAGAATCTGATGTAAGAACTTTAATGAATCGTTTTTTGAAACTGTCTTGAGCAACCTTTTTCCAGTTAACACCACAGACAAGGTCGTGTTTTGTCTCGATGTTTTGAACAGAACATGTGGTAAAACTAGTTGATATTGGAGTTGCAGAAGTTTGAGTTAAAGGTGTTATTATCAATTTGTGTACATCAAGAGAAAATAGTAATAACGTTGATGAGACATTGCAGTTTAAAGTTTTTGGGTGTTCAACAATAGGTCCTGAAGCTTTAATTAAACTGGGGAGTTTTTCGCTTATTGATGGTATCATTTTACTATAATTAACTCCATTTACGGTCTTGGAATATTTTGTATTAAAACGAAGTAAAGATGTTGTTCTGGTTGTTGTATTCTTTGTGGATTTTATAATTGCACTTAAATTAAAATTTGTTTTTTGTGGTTTTTTAAAATCGTTGTTTTTTCTTGAATCATTTTTGTTATGTATTGATCGAATTATTATACGTTTTTTCGGCAATATTTCATTTTCTTTATTTTCACTGTTCTTCCAACTCATGTTATTGTCTGTTTTTATTGTATTCCATAATATTTCAAGCTCTTCCAACACAAAACAACTAGTTATCTTGTCGTTCGAGGAAAGAGAATAATAAATTTTATCCAATTGTTTGAAGAAATCCAAAAGCTTTGAAAGATCTTCCCATTGTTTTATTGAAATTGTATTTTTTTGTTTTGTTCCATTTATAGATTTTTTCATTTTTATCGCTCTGTCAACAACATTGAATACAGTGCCAAACCGCGTCACTACAAACGTTGATGGTGTGCTATACGTTTCGCCGTTTTTGGAACACGCGTTTATAAGATTTTCCTTGGTTACATGTGACACTTGTACTGCTTTAGAAAGTTGATTTAACCTGCCAATAGTATTTTTTTCTTTGGCAAAATGCACGAGACGCAAAAAATTGCATTTTTTCTATAAATATAAAAATGAGAAAAAAAATCTAAAAATAATTTACATATAAATTTGCTATTGTATGAAGAGGCATCTTTCAGCAGTTTTCACATTACAGCAAGAGATCAGACATCAAATTTTTACAACTATTATA